AATTCAAGTCTCTTTCTCTCTTCTCACCCCCCCCACCGATCGGTTTTCTCTCTCTCTCCCTCTCCCCGTGCGTGAAGCCCCCTTGGCCGGCCACCAGCTCGCCGCTGCCTAGTCGCCGCCCAGCCCAGCCGTCCGCGCCGCCGTCTCCTCCTCCCCGGTCGCGCCTCACCACCACCCGCCTTCACTCTCTCTCTCCCTCGCCTGTTCTACTCGGCCCGGCTGCCATCGAGCCATCCCTAGCCGTCCTCCCTTGGTCCATACGACCAGATCGCCGACCCCAGCGGCCCGTGAGCCGCCCGCCAGCCACCCGCCCACTGCAGCTCAGCCGCTCGCCCGCCTGGTCGCCGGCGCCGCCGCTGCCGCTGCTGCTGCTGTTCCGCCTGTTCCAGCCCCTTGTCCAGCTAGTTTGTCTCGCTTTTCTAGGGTAAGTGACTTCCCCAAACTCTCCCTAGGACCTCGGGTATTGCTAGACTCGTTTAGGACTCGAATTAGGTGGTTTGGGTGGCTGTTTTGGAGTGTAGATCAAGGCTGGTTGTTTGGTCGTTATGGACTGAGTTAGTGATTGAAAATCTGTGGTTTAGTAGGCTCGGATAGGGCTGAGGTGATGTGGAATGATCGCGACTAAATTGTGTGTTCGATTGGTAGTTTTATGATTTGTATGGGCTTAATTGGATAGTTGTACGCCTTGTGATTGTGGGCTGGCTTGGAATATGTTGTGGGCTGATTATGTGCAGCTGTGTGTGCTATGTGTGTGGCCGTGAGGTGTGGTGGTGTGGTAGTGCGATTGCGCAGTGAGTTCGCGTGCCAAGCATGGGTGTTCGTGTGGTGTTCGTGTGACGAGGATGTGCATTGCGAAGCGTGTGTGGAGTGTGAAATAGTGGGTGACCGTGTGTATGTGTGGCCGTGTGGTAAGTGTGGCACGTGAGGTGCGAAGGTACGGGTATGTAGGATTGGTTGGAAAAGGTCCGTCCTGAGGCGTGTTCGTTTACGCGGGACGATGCCGTCCCTGACGAGGTGACGATGCCCGGCCTGACGGGGTGACGATGCCTGACGAGGTCAGAAGACCGTTGGCCTGATGTGTTTTACGCGGGCGCAGTAGTGAAGGCAAGTGAGTGTAGGATTCCGTCCTGAGGCGTGTTCGTTTACGCGGGACGATGCCGTCTCTGATGAGGTGACGATGCCCGGCCCGACGGGGTGATGATGCCTGAAGAAGTCAGAAGACCGTGGGCCTGATGCGTTTTACGCGGGCATGGTAGTGGTGGGAAGTTGAGAATGAGCTGGAATTGGCTTGACGTGTGAGGATTGTAGAAGCGGACGCATGTCGTGATGTAGTGCGCGATTATGGGGTAAAAACTGCTAGGCACGGTATGGGACGTGCCCAAGTGGGTTTTGCCTTATAATCGAGGCCGGCATGAGTTCGTGTGCGAATGTGGTTTGTATCGCGTATTGTAGTGCTCGATTATGGGGTAAAAACTGCTCGGCATGGTATGGGACGTGCCCGAGTGGGTTTTGCCTTATAATCGAGGTACGCGCGCAATTGTGATGCTTTACTGTGACATGTTGGCTGTGTGGTTATCTAACATGTAGGGACGTGCATGATGGGTCACAGGTAAGATCGTATGTGGTTGTTAGTTTGGTTGATCATTGGGTGTTATGCATGTCTCGTCTGGCAGTACGTGAGAGCCTATGTGGGGTTTGGGGTCGTACACTTATTGAGATTCGTCTCATTGTTGTATAATCCACAATTTCAGACCCCCAACCTTAGACCCAGGAGGCCCTCTTTTTGGAGTTTGAAGAGCCGCCCATGGTGCCCAGTGGAGCTGCAGGTGATCCTCCGGAGCAGAAGCCAGAAGACTCAGGAGCAGATTGGAAGAGGGCGACCAGTAGTTTCCCCCTAGGGTATTTTAGGGGTTGCGCAGAATAGATCGATCTATAGTGAAGTTAAGTTAACTAGGCCATCTGATCCTTTTGCTGTTTCGGTGGTTTCGAATGCTAGTTTGCTAAATATGTTTGTAATATGATGTTTGTATGCTTGATGCTATGGCATTGTATAAATGAATGTTATTGTTCTTTGATTGTCTTGGTGATTTGCCCCATCGTCGTCTTTATAGTCAGGGGTTTTGTATTCGCTTCCGCATGTGTTTCTGATGTTTGGGTTGGGTCGGCGATGTACCTGAGACGTCGCAACTATTCGACCGGTGCGGGATGTCGCGAGCTTGATGGGGTTCGGGGCGTGACACTAGCCCTCAGCGAAAGTTTGCTTGCGACCCCTGCCGGCCCTCAGTAAAAATAAAGTAAGAGAAAAGAAAAGAAAAATAAAAAAAAATTATAAATTATAAAATATGGCTACATCAACTTCAGCCATGCCAAATTGGACTAAATTGATACAATTGAAAGGTTTAGGACTCAATTGACACAAATATGATTCTTTTCTCCAAGTTTCATGCAATTTTTTTTGGTTGGGGCCTTATATCTCTTTTTCCCCCTTTCTTCGCTAGTTTCTTTTTCCAAAGTATCGTCGTAGTTGGAAAAGAAGCGCCTTTTATATATTTAAGCCAAAATCCTCAATCATCTCCCTTTTACATTCTTCCCCGATTAACCTGGTCACGATTAATTGAAACAAAATTTATATCTGGATCATTAGAAGATTCGACAATAGTAATTTAAAAGGTGAAAAATTCATCTAATCATTGAATTCATTAAAAATTATAATTATAATAATTTATAACACTCTATATTGGCTTCCCTAATTAATTGAGCAAAAATTTAGATGTCGACAGTAGCTTGTTTTTCTCATAAATTTAGCTCTTAGTGGTTAATTGTGGAGTTTTTTTATAAAAAAAAAAGAAGAAAAATGGTTACAAGAGGATATAATGAGCAAAATTAGGGAGATGTGGCCGAGACTTAATAAAAACTAACATGGATTTGGATCTGGTACGATTTTGGACAATATCATGGCTATAATAATGGATTTTTCTTTGGGCAATAGCAACTTGGGAAGATGAGAGAGAGAGAAAGAGATTCAATAATTAGTGTGGCCGATTTGTAAGTGATTCTTTCGCCAATTATAGTGTTTTCGAAGATCGTGTTCATGCATTACTCTTGTCATGGCATCCAGATCGTCGTCGTGCACTTTAGTTTATGGGCCCAACGCATAAAAAAAAATTCCAATCAATCCAAAACTTATTATACGAATCTTAATGCAGCCATAAACTTCTCAATTTTGCCATTTAGTCCTAAATCTTTGCACAAAATTCCAATGTCGTCCATTTGGCTAATTTTTGCTAAATATCGCTGACGTGGCAGTTTTGTCATTGCTGGCCTTCCTTCATGATACATGGTCACATTAACAATTTTCAGCAAAAATTGGGCAAAAAGACTAAATTGGAATTATGCGCACATATTTATAACTAAATTGGCAAAATTATAAAATTTACAATTGAATTGAGATTCGTATACTAGGGTTAAGACTGCTTGGACAATTCCTCTCAATATATTAGTTGTGTGATATTTGTTTTTCTCCGAGGACCTTTTGATTCGGCTCTGATGCGCCCATGTATATTATAATTATGAAGATTAGATTGTTGGAAATATATAAAACGTGCTTGTTTTTGTTTTTTGTTGGGTACTATTAGTATTAGCTACCTAGGTCCTGGGTAAGACCTTAAAAGGCTTCATCTTGGTCTTTGTCAGGACCTCGGCATCATTGGGATGTAAAAGTCTGAGAAGGTATTCCCTCCTCTCTGGGAAGACAAAAATATGGGGATGGAGGGGAAGGCAGGCGGGAATTGAGGTGTTGGGTGTGCGGGCACTGACACATTAGAATAAGGAATGCATCCATGGAGCCCGCAGTTTGTTGGAAATATATAAAACATGCTTGTTTTTGCTGGGTACTATTAGTATTAGCTACCAAACTATTTAGTGCAATTGTTTTATGAAGTGTCGGATCCGCCAGTTGTGATGGTCATATGTTATCGGGACAGTGATCCGATTGAATAGTAGTGAAGCTGACCTACAAACGGGTTTTGCACATTTTGATACTTTGATTGTGGAGTTCGAAATATCATAGGGCGCAATGAAAACACATATCGTTTTTTCTATTCATTTATTTTTGGTCTACACTATATTGGACTGTAAATTTTTTGTGGAAATAGTTTGCCAGAGAACTTTTTGCATAATGATGATTTTCTTGAAACTTTTTAGGATTTAAGGTCTTGTTTACGGTCGCTTATTCAAGACAACACTTGGTATAATTTGTTTATTTTTCTAACCGCATATCTAGTATTAGTAATGTTATATAAAAACTGACAGAATCACTACTTTTGCAATTATCACATTACTTTATACGGCATCTAGATAATTTTTAATGCTTGTAATATGTCTTAATATAACGACACAAACCTCTTACAATTGGTGTAGGATAGGAAGTAAAACCCTATCCTGCTTTTTAGGAAATTTTTTGAAGTTCTATAAAACTCCATCGTTTTTAAAGTAAAGAAATTAGAAAATGATTGGGGAAGGAATTGTGAAATACTCGATTAAGTACTCATTTACGCTCAATAATATGCACAAACAATAAAGCAATCTAACAACAATAATTAAGATTATAGGAACCAATTACAATCTCACCAGTATACTCATATAATCTCAAACTCAAAAGGGGTTGTAGGAAAACCATCCAAAGTTTCAAGAAAAAAAAAGAAATAATATGGAATTAAGGATGCACCTTTGCAAAAAGGACAACAGTGTAATTGACAGAAGACGTGGACAAGATCAAGAGTGCCTCAAATAGGATGTTTCCAAAAAAACCGACCAGTCCTTCCCAATATGTTGAGTTTGTTCGTGGAAGACATGGTTTCATGAAACACAAAATTATGCATATACGCAAGGGTTATAGTATACAACCCTCAAGTTGATATACCGTAATTGTAATCTTTTTAAGCTCGTGTGCTCTTATATCATATTAGACAAACTGTTTTTTTTTTCTCAAAATAATGCTGTTAGCAACAGAGGAAATGCTGATCTCGTATTTGTATTCAGACGTTGACAGAAAGCGAAAGCAACTTGCTGCATAATTATGTAAGAATCCAACACACATGTACAACACTACGCATTAATCAGTCAATGATGTACAACAAATAAATTACAAGTGGAGAGATAAGATTATACATTACAAGAATTTGATGTTGTCTGATCAGAAAGAGTGATTCACGGGAACCTTTCTTTCTCCTCAGAGATCTCAAACTCTTTGAACCAAAAAAAACAAAAGAGAAGAGAAAACAGGAAATGAAGTGAGCGGGTGTTATTATTAGGGTTTGGTAAGTTGTTGCTCGCCAACTCCTGATGAGATGAGAATATTGCAGGAGATCACATGAGATCCAGAAGAGCTTGACGCAGATTCCTCACGAAATCCCCCATTTTCAAGCTGAATCCCACGTCCATCTGCAAGAAATTTTTTTTTTATGGCGTATAATATGACCTAGTTTTCTTTTGCTACAACTCAACTACAAATACATGGGATGAAATAAGAGAAATACCGAGTGCATTAAGAAGTTATCAAAACCCATTTGCTAAGCAACGTGGGAATCTTTATCGGGTTATGAAATAAGTGGGACTCAATGACTCATGCGTTATATAAAAGATCAACTTGGTAATTTAAGATTCCTATCTATATTGAACATTTCCCGGAAAATAAATACACAATATGATGTTAAAGCGGGGAAAAGAATTGCGGCAACTATGGTACCTGAGCAAAGATGGTGACATCTAGTATGGAACTCCCAAAAGGTAGGACACAACTGTTCACAACAGTTAAATTCAGTTTCTCTATCTCGCCGATCATTTTCGAAATAAAGCCCTTGCGCCTTGCGCAATGGATTTTGACAAGGATGCAATTTCCGGAGATTCGCGCCTTGATTTCTGGAAGTGAGAGTTGCTGGTCTATTTGGCTGCAAGAGTTCTCATCGGACGAAGACGCCGTGTCATCGTACCTGGTGAGTGGGGACTTCTTCACGATGATGACCGACTCCTCAGTCTTCACTGCCGCCTCCTCCTCGAGTGCCTTGACGCGTTGTTGAAGCTCTTTCAAATACCTGATGGCATCCTCAAGGATGGAAGCCTTGTCCATCTAAAATACACATTTAATATCAATGTTAGAACAGTTATAGATCGTACAATTCGTTAACGGTGTGAATATTTTGAAATGGTTTCCTTAAATCGGTGATGAAGAAATAGATAGGATTCATTAGCTGTGTGCGTCTGGTTTAAGCTAGTATTAGCGCATGCAGATTTTCCCTTATCAACGATTATGAATCATCATTATTCTTTTCCTCGCATACATCAAGTTCGCAAGCATAAAGTTTCGGTCATCTCACCAAATTTTACTTCACAAGATAATCATCAGGTTTAAGTCGTAATCTTGAAACAAAATAAATAAGCCATGTGATTACTGCGTATGAATTAACCTTATAAAGCATAAACGTTTGAGAGAAACCATTTATACAGAACCCCACACATCAAGAGAGCATGTACTATGAATTCTCAAAATGAGCAAGTGGAACTCTTTAACACAAGGATGTGATGCATCTGTCTCGTTCGGTGCTAACGAATATACTGATCTGTCCTAATCTTATGCTTAATCCGACCCATCAATCATACACTCCTAATAATTTCCGGACTTTTTCGGCTTGTACCTTCTTAAGGTTGGGAATGATGGCTGCGAGCGCAATGACAAGCTTGCTGATCTTCTCGCGGCGCTTCCTCTCGGCTAGCACGTTTTCTTGTGCGTGTACCGGTTTCTTGCTCATCCTGCCGGCAGTTTTCATCTTTGATCCCTCACAATCTTGGATTTCATAAATACCTTTCAGACGCATCAGAGCGAGACAAATATTGTTGAGAATATTTAATGAGTAAAGATTCGATTTTCAAAGAACTAATTTCACGGACGAGGCTTCGGTCGCTTGCAAGACTTTACCATGGAATGGATTAGATACGGCTGGAGACGAATTAGGATTCCCGAATGATATCAAGTGTGATTCAGGAGGCCGAGACGGAGATGGAGATTGCGATATCACCACATTGCGAGTCATCGTTTCGTGCTCTGCAGCACACCGAGAGTTCCAGCTCTCGGTCTTGTGCTGTTTCCGGGGCCTCTCGGTGAACTCTTGAGGAGTTTCGACGGATCGCGCAGCGAAACCCGGCATCATCCCGGGGCTCATAAGAGAGAGTGGATAGGACGGCGATGAGTTTGAGCATGGCTTCGAAGGAAAACGTGGATGGAACAAATCAAACTCATCATCAAGTGAGAAGGAGTTCAATTGTTGCTGCTGCTGATGATGGTGGAAATAAGCTGCGTCTTCAACCATCTGTGGATATTCACCCTAAAAATGGGGGGAGAAAGAAAAGAATCAACATGTGATTGTATATACTGACTGGTACGCCTATATCCGAAGAAATCTTATCATGGAAAACCGGAAGGAGCACTACTTCGGGAAATATTCTCTGCGACATGATCTCCTTTGGATCACCACCTCCTACTCCTTCTGGGTCCTCTAATCACCCTGTACAAGAAAACGAAGACGACGCATCAACTAAAAGAGAAGGCAGGAACAATCCCTCGTCGTAGTTCTATACTCGATGTTGGATCTCTAGTTGTACTTGTAAAGATTCAGTCGAAGAAAACAAGGAAAAAGAAAACAAGGTCATCACCACCTGTGAAGAACAAATGAGAGAGAGGCGAAGGTTAGTTGGGCAATGGTGGGACTTGAAGGAACAGTTGCTGTCGCTTATATGCGAGCACCCATACGCGTTCTCGGCGACGAAGCAGAGCTCGCACGTGCGAGTGATTCGTCTCCCTTTGCGAGCTGGCACCGCCGGTTCACATTGGGGAGAGAGGTTTCTTCTGCCTCTTTCATTCTGTCAAGCTTCAGATAGAGCCCTCCTCATAATTCCCCAAAAACTTCGGAAAAATTTAGTTGTGCTAATATTTTATAGGATGTTGTTAACGGGTCCTTACAGAATTCCTTAATTATACATAACAAGAGAGGCGGTGCATTGGAAATGATAATAATTCTTTGTTTAGGTAATTAACAAATGCCATAGAGGTACCCGTTAATAAATATGTATTCTATATTGTTTCTTTTCTTTGGTAGGGTAAAAGGGTTGCAATGGACAAATGGTATTGATATTTTTTGTTCTTAGACATTACTATAGGAGTTTCCTACACCTGCAGCCGGATGTTCTGTTTGAGATATAATGCTACTCGTTTTGAACGAGCACATCACCACTACACCAGCAGATGCGAGTTAGAGTAAAGTCAAAGTTACACTTGGAACAAGCCGAACTAACATCATAGACACACTAGAATTTCTGGAAACTAAAGAACAACCAAGGAATTCGAACTAGAGTCTAAGAGGCGCTTCAAACTACGTGGAAGTACGTTTTAGTCATTTCGCTCAACGATCTCGTTTATAAAATCTTTTACTAATCTATTATATATATTTATATAGCTCTCTCTCTCTCTCAGTCCATATATTTGTTAAGTTTCCAAAACTAACTTATTTGGGTATCCTTTTGAATTACAATTGTAGTAGAAGATTGGTTATAATTTTAACTCACATACTTGACAGGTAAAATCATATATTAATAAAAGCTATCTTCTTGAACCAAAATCGTGTTGCAATGTGAAAAAAAAAGGAAGAAATTCTGTATAAGTTGTAGGGGTGATCGGTTCCCTATCCGGTCCGGTCCAATGGAACAGATCACTTAGGGTTTAGTTCACATTTTACTAATTTTTTTGAAGAAATAATAAAAAAAAATATGCAATCGATCCGGTTGGTGCGGTTCCCCCTTAGAACCTGGAACTGGACCTCTCGGATACCGATTCCGCTTTTAAAAATCGAGAACCTGACTGACACTCTCGAGGAGTGTTTTTTGATTTGAGCAGTCCATTTTGCACACCCCTAACTATTTGCCCAGGAAATGTGGTTAATCAAATTTTTTTTTGGTCGGCTGGTTAATCAACCTTCTTTCCTTCCCTCAGAGAGGTTCTGGGTTCGAATCCCCGCTCGGTTCCGTAATTTAAGTAGGGGGACCTGGCGGTGGGTTGCTGGGCTAGTCTCCCCCGAGGTATAGGCGCCCCGATTACCTATGCGGGCTCGTCCCCGGGGAATGGTGGCGGATCCTCGGTTACAAAAAAAAAAAAAAAACTTAAAAGGTCTGTTTTAAGCCAAAAAGGCTGTAGAAAAATGACATGTATATAGGTAAGGGTCAAGAGTACATTTTATTAACAAAAATCCTAACAAATTGAGTCGATTACAATTGCATCCCTTGGGTTTTTTCATGATATGTCCGTTCCGTACCTGGACCAACTTATTCAAATCTAATCTAAAATGAATAATTTCTTTGTTATAGGTAAGTAAGGACTCCATCTTTTCAAACTCAAAAGTTTCAATTTAATTGACGTCACAAGTCAATTACAGCATACTGCCCCAAACTTGAACACCATTTTAGCTGTCTTTTCCGATGATCAATCAAATCACTCGAAGCTGACTTGGGCAACTACTACATACGAAAAAGTTACCATTTTGCACCACCAGTTATCGATGAACATCCCCTTAAACAAAGTAAATCAAATGCTAGACGTTGATTAGGATCTATAATGGATTACTTCAAAATTGCTCTGTTTATCGGAAATAAGAATATCCTATTATTATACTCTGTTCATAGAGTATAATTCGATGGCAAATGGGCAAGTTGCTTTTCTCTTTTATTCTACCCCCGTTGAGCTGGAAAACGGCTTCTCAACCAAAAGGACAAATCACCAAACCTATCAAGAAAAAACCAAAATCGTACTTCTTATTTTTGAGAAAAATTCCACCAAAAAGCCTAATTGATATCAATATCCCAAATGATTTCATGTCATCAATACTCCAAACTTGTACTAGTGATCCAAAATGTACTTTTTGTGACAGTTTTGTATAAGATGGCCGCTAAATATCCGCAATGAAGGCTTACGTTGCTAATAGAAGGAAATGGAGCTGACGTAGATCTAATGTGGCTTTAGATTAGTCCAAAGCGACGTAATTTATCGATTCATAGGTTCGACAAGGATGTGGTATATATGTATCAAAATCCACTTGAAACTCATATTTCAAGGTAACAACTTGTCGAAGTTTAAATTTTTAAAAAAACTGGAACTCCATGATAAAAGAGTTGTCTCTTTGGCAATTTTAAGATTCCTAGAAGAAACGTAATCCATAAAACGATGTCGCTTTGGATTAGACTAAAGCCATTAAATTCACGTCAAATCCTTTTGTCCGCCATTGTCTACGCAAGTTGCCACATCAAATTTTTAACAGCCATCTTGGGTGGAATGACGAAAGAATTTTTTGGGTTATCGGTACAAGTTCAGGGTTATTTGGTGACATAGAAAAAAAAATTGTGGTATTGGTTTTAGACTTTTTGGTGGAATTTAATCTTAAATTAAAAGTTAGATCTAATCCATGTCAAGCTCATTTGCCTGTCATTGTCCACGGAAGATGCCACATCGGATTTTTTATGGCCGTCTTGGACTAAATTGGGATGAAAGGCATTTTTAGATCACCGGTACAAGTTTGGGGTATTGGCAACATGAAAAAGTTTGGGATATTGGTGTCACACTTGGCAAAATTTAGGCTTTTGGAGTCCTTTGTAAAGTGATCCTCTGTAATTTTTTATGTAGGATGCCCCCTGATACTTTCAGAATCGGTGATAAGTGCTCCATTACAAAATTTTCCTTAAAATGTGCTAAAACTAACATCTACAAGATTGTCAATGCTCATTTTCAACTAAATTGTTTATAGAATTGTCACGAGAGGTTTCAATAAAAGGTGAAATATCTTTTAATTACTTTTTGCACTTGCTATTGTTGGATCCTAAATTATTTTGTGTGGTACAATCAGGATAGATTATTGCGTGTACTTAAATTGACATATACATGTACCCAAAAATAAATTAATTAATAAACAGCGAAAGTCTTTGTAAATACTATTTTTACCATAAGATAGCTAGATGGAAAACGTTTTCTTTACCAATTTTGAGTATCAATGGAGCTATCCGTCAAAAACAAACATTTTACACATGACATTAAGTACATTTGGTCAACACATAATTTTCAATCTCCATTTACGGCAATTCAGAATGGGTTATATAAGTTATAAATTTCCATGTCCATACGAAGAAAATAAGGAATTTTTACTGTCTTTTTGGGAAATTTAACTAGTTCTCCCGCATTATCTGAGAGTTTTTATAGCAGTGTTATTTAAGAGTTAATAATCAACTATGGTCAGACAAAGAAGATCAGAGATTTTAAATTCTAATACAAACTTATTTTCTAGTGGGCATTCATAATACAAATCGTTTCTTCAAGAGAAGGTTAAAGGCTGAGAAATTTTTATTATGTCTCGTTGCTGAAGAAGACAAAACGAGAAGATATTGCTTGATTCTCTTTGTTTTCTTATACTTCTCTTCTTCTCTTTTTTGCTTTGTTTGAGTAGCTTTCTATTATAAGTCATACCATTTTATTTAATCTGTACCACATGTGGCATCATCATCACATAATGTAGGGCCGACGAGATCATCCGATGATGATGTGCCGGATACTAAGATCGGTTCAACTCTTCCACATGTTTCAAGTGATTTAGTAAATTATTATTCAATCTCCAGAGCTAGCTATAAAATAATTCTCTTGCTTTTATTAATTTTCTACCAAGAATGATATATATAATCCTCATATTGATTTTCCCCTTTATGTCGAAAAAGGAAAAACTCTTCAATCCCTGCATTTTCACAACAATGAAAAGCGAACGAGAGAGAACTTGTGATCATATCTAAGACTCTGTTTATTTCTTGAAAAATGAATGATTTGAAAAATATTTTCGTAAAAATAATCACTTGTATTGCTTACAAAAATGAATAAAAGGAAAATATTTTCATTGTCCACTACAATGTTTAGATATAGATTATTGTAGATAATGAAAATAATTTCTTTGGCTAATTATTATAAACGATACAAACAATCATTTTTAAGAAAATATCTTTCGAATCATTTATTTTTTGTAAAATAAACAGAGCCTGAATGATACGATATGAATACTCCTTTTGCAAAATTTGGCCGGTGATAGGCCCCGCCATTGCAAAAGTAAACATTGACGTTCTCATTATTGTTGGCTCATTTGACCAAAATTACATCAAGCAAATAGAATTCGAGAAGTACATCACACAACATGTTTATTTTTCCCAAACATGTTCAAGAGCGATGGCTCTCATTGGTGTAATTCGTCTCCCGTTGCATTTGGTCCGCACACTTCATGATGGTGCAATGCTTTGACATAAGTGGGATTGGGTGACAAAATTAGGGTTTACAAATCTCATGTGTAGTCACTGAAGTAAATTCTTGAAATAGTTTCTTGGAACTATCAAATGAAAAGATTATTTCATGTTAAATTGTTTTGACGAACAGTAAAATTATACGACCGCTCCTATTGAAAAATGAAACGCTCCACCACTTAACGAGAGATCAGATTCACCAACCATTGAATTCGGACAATTGAAACATGTGATGAGCTTGGAAATCATTTTTCACGAACTTTGCTTGTCTAGGTGAACTCTGTGGTTGTGAAAGCAATCCAACAACAAAAATTCCTACGGATACAAGAATTTTGAGTAAAATCGTTGTAGGTTAAAGAAAGTCTAAATAGGA